ATATTTGACACATACAATAAAATTGCTCATATTTGACACATACAATATTTAATGTATCTTATTCATTTACATTATCTACATAAGAACATAAGAATAATAGTTTTTAACATCTTAAAATTCTTCAAACCAACTCATTTAGAATTAATATTTACATTTAGGAATAGTTAATATCCTTACATTTAACATTCTTTTTTAGGAGTAGTTGCTAGATAAAACACCATTTTAATCGACATTCCAAACTAAGGACTAATAGTAGTAGACTAAAATTTGACTAAGTACATCTTTCTTCGTATCCTCGTGGGATCATTATTCGGGGCTTAATCAAACTTATACTACTTAAAGCGATATGTACACTTGCGTAGAACCCATAGTGTGTGTGAACTATTTGCTATATTTCATAATATTTCAATTTTGTATATTAGCTACTAAATATAAATTGGGTCAAGTTTTTTTTCGTCTTTTGAAAGCTAATTTACTGCGTAATTATGGGTCGGGTCAAGTTTTTGGCACCTCAGGGGAATTGAATTGACATAAAACACGTAGAAAAATAATATGCACTAGAGGTGCATCAACCACCACCTCCACACCATACCAACACATCCATAGACCACCACCTCCACACCACATAACCACCTGACACTACCACGCCAACACCCAACGCATCCACACCACATAACACACCCAACACATCCACACTACCTCCACATAACACACCCAACACATCCACTCGACACCTCCACAACATACAACCACCCAACACATCCACATAACACCACCACCTCATCACACAATCACCCTGCACCACCACCTCCACACTACACACCACCACCTCCACATCACACAACTCTCCTACACCACCACCTCCACACCACACCACACCAACACATCCACACACCATCACTTTCATACCACGTCCACACATCCACACCACACAACTCTCTTACACCACCACCTCCACATGCCATCTGTATTTCCAATTACCACCACCACCAAATTTCGAGCATCAACTGAATAGAGCAAAGAAAAACCGCAGCCACACCACACCACACAATCATCCCATTACTAATTTGCATTCCCAATTACCACCACACAACTCTCCAATTTGAATTTCCAATTGCCACCACACCACACAACCATCCAACGCCTCCAAATTCCACATGCAATCACCACCACCACCAAATTACTGGCATTAACTGAATAGAGGAAAGAAAAACCAAATTTGTCAACCTGATGTAGCAGAAAAAACCCAAATCATCAATCGAGTATATCATAGAGAAACCAAACAAATCCCAAAATCTAACATCAACCAAAAACCATCCAACGATAGGAGCACAACCCAGTAAAACCATTGCACATTAATATTTGTAAGATCAAAATGCACGCATAAATAAGGTAGAGAATACCAAAACAGAGGAGAGAGAGAGACCGCTACATAGAGGGCAGAGAGGCAATGATCCAAACCGAGCCAAAGAAAAAAGGGGAGAGGGAGAGGAAGGATGGCAAGCTCACCATGACAACCATCGGAACCAACAGATTCAAATGGAACCAAGCTCTACCCATCGAAGCCACACACTTAAGGGGATCGAGAGAACAAAGTTAATGTAACAATCGCAAGAGAAGGGATGAAGAGGTAGCAAGGTCGAGCGAGTAGTATGCGGGATGAAGGGGTAGTGGGGTAAAGAATCATGAAAAAGTGCAGGTCACAGGGTCGAACCCATGACCTGCGTTTCATATAAAATATTTGAAGCCGCTTCCGCACCACATTTACCAAATACCACTAGTAGTCGTGCCGTGGGTAAAAGCCGCCTCAAAGGGTGCCTAAATCAGATACATTGTGTAATCTGCTGCCCCCACCCATGAAGAGCTTGAAGTAGTGATAAGTGATGATAGGAAACTACGGGCCGGCGAGAAATCCAGCCCGCCCATCGTTCTTCTCACAACCAGCAATTTTCCGATTTTATGAAATCTGCTATGGTTTATTGCTCTTTCAGTGTGATATGATGGAAGCCCTCGCAAGTGACCTCTTTATATAATTTTTTTGTTTTTCGCAGCTACCCCTATGTGCTCTCGAGCTCGCATGCTCGACCCACAATCTCGACCTCCCTCTCATCGTCTTCTCTTGCTCGCTATTGCTCCCAAGGAAGTTGCAGGTTTTCTTGCCCTTCTCTCGCTATCATCGCCTGGTGTTGGACCGCCGCAGATTCGCTTGCCGAGGTGCTTGGTTAGATTTATTATTATTATTTATTTTTTCTTCCATCCAGCTCCTTCTCGATTGGATTCTATAGGTGTTTATGTTAGGCGTTTGGTACCCGTAAGCTGATTCCCGATACCCGTGGTTGCTTTATTTGTTTTGGATGCCTTGAATTTGTTTTTTTCCTTGAGTGTGACTTGGTGTTGCCTTCTTACTGGGTAGCTGATGTTTTGGATTAGATTTCGGGGGGCTATTTTAGGGCGTATTTGAGTTTTGTTGATACTTGAAGCACTGGGTGGAATTCAGCTCCTTTGGCTGCAATTTTTGGGCTTTTACCATAGACATTATTGAGATTTGACACTCTTGTATGGTTCTTACTGCTTTTGAGTAGATTTCATTCGGTAGTCGTTGAATGACCTGATGGTTTTCATATTTTTGGTGTTTGCAGGTGAAGAAGAGAGAAGATAATTGCTTAGGTTAGTGCGGTAAAGTTGAGATTGTGTTGATGTCTGGGATCTCTACTGAAGAGTACGGGGCAGGAGGAAGTTCATCACCAACTGAGGGCATGTCAGCTGGTCAACGGTGTCAGTCTATTGACTCACTTGCGGAATGGCGTTCTAGTGAGCAGGTGGAAAATGGAATACCTTCCACTTCACCTCCTTTCTGGGACACTGATGATGACGATGAATGTGGTATGTTGGCTATCTAATTCGTGCTTTGAAGTGTAGTAGGTTTCAGTTTTCTGTTTTCTTATGGGAGAATTATGGTGAAAATTGTGTCTTTTTTACTTGCATAGAAATGTATCCGTCACAATATTTACTTTTTACAAATGGTTTTCCAGTTTACTGCTGGGTGCTATTGGTGTTTAACTGGGGCTTTTTGAATTCAAATGACTGAATTCTGCTAGGTACTGCTCAACAATGGAAAGAAAATTAACTTTATATTAATTTCCTGCTAAAGTTTATATTTTGACTTATACATTGAATGGCATTCAATTGCTTATTGCAAAGCTTCATGCCAAAAATTTATTTTCTCAGGAAATGCACAGTGAATACCCCCTTCTTGAGGCACAGTATTAGTGCATGATCACGTTCAGTAAACATTCAAAGCAGCCGTTTTGTCTTTGCATGAGCCATAACTTTTATTTGTAAATTACCTCATGAAACAAAAGTACCCCTGAAACCTTCCAGGTGTAACTTCACTATTAAACCAGGATTCTTTGTTAATAGTTAACTGTTGGTTTCTTGAAATGAGAAAGAAGAGAAGACTTAAGAGAATTGATGTAGATTGAAGGAAAAATTAGAACCACACCTTTTGTGTAGCCTTACAATATTTTAAACTTGGAGCTAATAACAAACTTTCAAGAAAAGACCTAAAAATCAGCCAAGAAAGTAATAAGAAACAAAATTTAAGAAAAAATAACAACTAACTCCTAAGATTAAGGAATAAACTAAATTCAAATAAATCTAGACTCAATAAGCAGTCCTAAGCATGTATTCCAACACTCCTTGCTTTAAGATCTGCGAACACCAAGTTTCTGCCTTAGAAACTCAAACTTGTTGATTGGAAGTGGCTTTGTAAGCAAATCTGCCAACTGATATTCAGATTTGCAGTAAATCAGAGTCACAAATTCTTTTTTCTGCACTTCTCTTATAAAAAATAATTTGATGTTGAAATGCTTAGTGTTCTCGTGAAACACAGGGTTATGAGAAATGACAATGGTACGAATATCGACGTCATTTGGTAGTCAATTGCATGTTGTCACCAGAAACCCGAATGAGTTTTGAATCACTTGAGCAAGCTTTATCGACATCGTCTTCCAAGTCTGCATGTTTCGTCATTAGCACCGTTTTGATGAAGCCTGAGCGTGACTCGGGTTTCTCTTCCAGCATTTGTTTTGTGGAACTTTGTTGCCTTTGAACTTGAGATTGCAAAGCAGTCATAATTGTTAACAGATCCTCTTTTTCTTTTTTGGCAAACAATATTTTTTCAGCGACATCTTTTAATCGAGCTTCTGCATCTGCCTGTGAAACCCCGGTGCTTGCTTCAACTCAAACTACAACCACTTCTAATAAAACAACATGTTCTCTAGCTTTTGCGAGCTTAGAACGCCAAAAATGTGCCTCATGAAGAGCAATCTCTCTACTTGAACAGGATCTTTTCATCTATGCTAAATGCTGCAACATTTTCTTCTGATTTTTTAACTTAAGAATGGTTTCTTGAAGTTTTTTATTTGAATCATTGGTCAGTCGTTCAATTTCTGTGTAAGCAAACCTCCTCTCTTTATCCATAGCAAGAGCTGCAGATGCAGCTACTTCAGCAGCCTGAGCTGTCTCAGTTAACTTGTCTGCTAACTCACGCATGGTTGAATCTCTTGCACGTAATTCTTTGGCCAATTGCTGAAGTTCTTCATCTTTAACTCGATGTGTTTCCTTCATTATCATAAGATCATCTAAATGGCCTTCATTACCCTCATTAATCAATGAAACTTCTAGTGAGTGGGCATGTTTTACAAAACTTTCATTAGGAAAAGTGCCAAAAACCTCCTGCTCCTCCTGCATTGGATTGAGCGAAAAACTCCTCCCTGCCATCTTAACTTCAAACATCCTTTGGCCTGTCGCATCCTCTATCACACAAGCCTTCTCCATAAACATCATTTTGAATCCCTTTTCTATTATTTGACCAACACTGAGCAAGTTTTGATCAATATCTGGTACATAAAACATCTCGGTGATCAACTTGGTTCCTGAACAGCTTGCAATGGCTACGGGGCCCTTTCCTTTGACTGCAATATATTCACTATTCTCAATTCTGACCTTCTTGGACTCCGTGCTTTTCAATTCCTTGAACAACTCCTTGTCATGTGTCATATGATTAGTACATCCACTATCAATGAGCCAGTTCTCACTTATTTCAGAACTCGTGAAACAAGTTGCAACGAAAAGCTGGTCATCTTCTTCTTGATCTCCCACTTGTGCTTCATCTCCTTGCTGCTTGATAGCTTCATGTCTCCTTTGATTGCATTTGTTGCACTTTGCATCTGGTATTCTCCAGCATTTGAAAGGAGGATGACCTTTCTTGCCACAATGTCGACATGGAGGGTAATCTTTCTTTTGTCCACTTGTAGCTTGAAACTTCTTGTTCTTAGGCCTCCTATTCTTTTCATCATCTTGATGCTTGACTGGAAGAGCGCCTTCGACGACTCTTTGCCTCATTACGCGCCTCTGCTCTTGTGCTTGTAAAGCACTTAAGAGTTCTGTCAAAGCAATATTTGACAGATCCTTCATGTTTTCTAAGGTGGTGATAGTAGCCTCAAATCTTTTAGGCACTGTTACAAGGATTTTTTGACCAATCCTTGAATCTTCCAGAGAATAACCCAATAATTTGACACGATTTGCTATGCTGAGTAGTCTATCAGAGTACTCGTTTATGGTTTCTGTCTCCTTCATCCTTTGCAATTCAAAGTCACGAACCAAGTTTAACACCTGCATTCCTTGAATTCTTTCATCTCATTCATACTCAGATTTGAGATAATCCCAAATCCCTTTTCTTGTTTTGAACGACATGATACGAGTGAAGATCGTAGAGGAAACTGCAGCAAGCAGGCAAGCTTTTGCCTTGGACTTCTTTGTCTTCTTCTTTTGTGCTTTAATTTGTGTTACGGTGGGATTTTCAGGGAGAAGAGGAATGTCATAGTCTTCTTCCACTGCTTCCCAGAGATCCAAAGCTTCTAGGTACGTCTCCATGCGGACTGCCCAAATTCGGTAGTTGTCTCCGTCAAACATTGGTGGAGCAACTGAGGAAAAACTAGCTTCGATCTCCATTGCCGCTCAAACTCACGCACAAATCTCTTAAGAAGAGAGCTCTGATATCAAATTGTTGGTTTCTTGAAATGAGAAAGAAAAGAAAACTTAAGAGAATTGATGGGAAAATTAGAACCACACATTTTGTGTAGCTTTACAATATTTTAAAATTGGAGCTAATAACAAACTTCCAAGAAAAGGCCAAAAAACCAGCCAAGAAATAACAAGAAACAAAATTCAAGAAAAAAAAACAACTAACTCCTATGATTAAGGAACAAACTAAATTCAAATAAACCTAGAATCAATAAGCAGTCCTAAGCATGTATTCCAACATTAATAAAATAAAGTGTTGTGATAGAAAACCAGATTTTTTTTTTGTTTTAAGAACGGATAGAACATGATTCTAACTAAAAGAAAAGGAAAATATGATTCATATTTAAAAAAAAGAAGTTGCAAAATTTGATACAAAACTTGTACTGGTAAATAAGTTCAATTCGGAAATTCTTATGTTTTAAGCTTTTTCGCTTGAGACTATGCCAATTATTTAGATGGGAAACTGAATTATACATTTGATATATCTTAAGATGTCAAATAATTATTTCAAGGCATTAAAGAAAGAAAGAATTTAAAATCGTTCCTCTATTTGATGATTATAATTTGAAAATTCCTTTTTTTAGTAACCTCAAACTATTATACACCAAGCTAGCATTTCTATCCTATAGGCTTCAAGGATTTTGGCCTTTGCATCATACTTTTTGTGGCATGACAAGTCTATGATGATCATTTAATGGCCTGAGCGGTTTTGACTTGTTTTTTTTTCCATAATTCTTGCTGCTATTAGGATGAGCCATCTCTTTGAACAATGGCGGAGTTAATTGTTCCATCACAAGGTGCAGATATTTTTAAATGTAGTAGCTTGTTGGTTTATCTGTTTTTGACCCTTTAATTTGGATGATCATGAAAAGATGTTGGCAAAACACCATTTCCTTTTCAATAATGTTATGGTGTAAAAATTGATATTTTAGGCTATATAATCTCTTGTTGTTATTGACTCTTGATGTTTGCTTAGATGATTTTACATAAGGCATGGGTTCTTAAGTTATAGCTAGAGTGAAAGTGATAGTACAAGTGAAATTAGGTATAGCATGGAAGTGGTTGAATGCACAAAAATTATAAAAGGGTATTGAGACTTGTGTTAATAGTTTTTAGTCAATAAAAGACAAAACAGATAAATGAGGACAGTTGGGCATGATTTTTTAGATATTGATCAAGAGCATACATTTACAACTACAACACAGAGATGTGCACACACATATTTGTATGGGGGGAATTCGGTGTAGGGTTTACAAGTTTAATTCAATAAAAATGGATGTCTAGTAGATCAGGACAATAGGGTGTCTTTTTAGATATTAATCGAAATAGCTGTCAACTACCATTTAAACGTGTGTGTACCTTATTAGTCAATTGTTTCCTAAGTTTTTTTCTTTATTAGATTCAATGTAATATGACATTCTAAACATTTGTGAAGCATCTTAATTAATGTTGTTTATTAGAATAATTTTATCATCTTCTTATGCTTGTTGATTGGATACTTCTTATTATTCTTTTTGTGATTGTTGTTTCAGATCATTTATGTTATAAATGACACTTATATGACATCATCTATGTTTTTTATAAAATTTTTTAGGTATAACTCTGGTTCTTTTATATTGTAATTGCTCACTAGTAATTTATTTTCATTTTAGGGCCTAAACCATCTGAGCTTTTTGGGAAATTTACTTGGAAGATCGACAACTTTCGACAGTTGAACAAACGAGAATTACGAAGCATGGTCTTTGAAGTTGGTGGTTACAAATGGTGGGTGATTCACGTGAAGTTTAATTTTAATCCCACTTATTGCTATTTTGATTTATTTATCTTTCACACGTGCATACACTCTGTATCTAGAGTTGTAAGCAGATAAGTGCTCTCCATTGATAGATTGATACTTGTTCGTGTTCAACTTTTTTATGCTCATTTATATACAAAATTAGAAAATTGGCAAAAAGCCCCCTAATTCTCTGCATTGGTTATTTAATTCATAGTGTCTAGTCTATGAAAGTGTCAAATCAGCTCCCAATTTTTTTTATTATGGGTTGAAATAATATTCAAGGGATTAATTTGACAATTTTATAGAATCCGGGACTAACCTGACCCCCCTATAAATAGTCAGGAGATCATTTTGACTCTTTTCTCTTTACAAAATTACATAAGATTAACTAAAACCTTAAGACCGGTCATATAAATGTATAAACTTGAATGTTCGTATGTGTTCATTTGTGCTCATGAACAAAATCGTTTATTTTTTAGCAACTAGCGCACTAAGAACTCAATAAAATGTTTATTTGATGATGTATTATTTGTAATTTTATTAATTTTTGTATGTATTTTATATTTTAATAATTATGCCTGTTATTAGAAGTACAGGTATGATGAAAGCATCAAATAACTAGTTGAAAATGTAGATTTAAATATTTTCATATTAGAATTTAAATTTTACCAAACAGGTTAAATAATGCCCAATGATTTATGTATGTCAATTTTGTTTGAAATCTATAAATCTCACTATATATAGCAATTAATCTTTATGTTCAAATCATTTTCTTTAAACATATAATTAATTAGACTCGATTAAAGCTTGACTACAACTTGAGCTTAATAAGAGAATTAAAAATCAAGCTTGATTAAAATTTTAAAACGCGATTCATGTTCAAGCTCTACTTGAACTCAATAAGAAAATATGGCATTGAGTTGAGAAACATGAACTAGCTGTTCTTGCAATTACGTTAACCTTCAAATAGATTTCCAGGCAGACATTTATTTTACTTGTTCATTTCGTATGCAGTTCTTGCTATTACGTTATCCTTCAAATAGATTTCCAGGCAGGCATTTATTTTACTTGGAACTCAATAAGAAAATATGGCATTGAGTTGAGAAACATGAACTATTTAATCATTTTGTATGCAGTTCTTGCAATTACGTTAACCTTCAAATAGATTTCCAGGCAGACATTTATTTTACTTTTTAGGAAGCAAATGTGGTCAATAGGTCGCATGATTAACACATGAAGCATACGATGGGAACATTTATCTGACCACTAAAATGCAACACAATATGCCTGCTCATTAGTCCATTGCCAGGAAGAACCTGCTCTCTCATAACTGATGCAGTAATGATTCAAAATGCATTCATGTATGGGTTTTTGTGTTTAAATACTTCATAATTTGTTAGTTTAGTTCCATTAACTATGAGTTCTTTAGGAACATTTTGAATGCCTATTAATGTTATGAGTTTTATATATATATATATATATATATGTAAGCCTCCAAATTCTACTGCAAGAGATTGATCTATGGGCTAGTTTCTTTCTGATGTCATACCGTTGGACATATTCTTACATTGAATCTGTTATTTTGCTTGTGCAGGTATATTCTGATATATCCCCAGGGTTGTGATGTCTGCAATCACCTCTCCTTATTTCTATGTGTTGCTAATCATGACAAACTTCTTCCTGGTCTGTTTTCAGATGTTAGATTTTGTATTGTTAACATTATAATATGTAATTTCCTTTCAATTTGTTTATCAAATGGTAACAGGATGGAGTCATTTTGCACAGTTCACAATAGCTGTAGTAAACAAAGATCCAAAGAAATCAAAGTTCTCTGGTAAGTAGTAGAAAACTTTGCAAATGATGATGCTTGGTGTAACTTAGCATTCTTTGCATTTTGCTTATTATTTATACTTATGGTGGCATACATGCTTGCTAGATACGTTGCACCGCTTTTGGAAGAAAGAACATGATTGGGGTTGGAAAAAGTTTATGGAGATCAATAAGGTTTATGATGGATTTGTAAATGATGATACGCTATTGATTAAAGCTCAAGTTCAAGTAATTAGGTATTATTTCATATTTTTGTCAATGTACACTATTTTAGTTACTTTTGCTGTATGAGTTTTTGTTAAATCACGTGCATATCTGTTTCCATAGAGGTGCATAGACTTTGGGTTTGTTTGTGGAAAATTTTTCCACATTTTTTTGCCTTTTCAGGCAGTTGTCATAGCTTTGTTTGGCTATATTTTTCTTGCTAATTTTCTTAGAAGTTTCTGTGGTGCGAATTAGCTTTTTACAACCTGATTTATCAGTGTGGTAGCAATGCGAAAACTGCTCTCCTCTTTTTTAAAGAAAAGTTCTTTAATATTCAAACGTAACGTTTAAAAGCATGGTTTTCCTACAACAATTCTATCATGATTTCTATAGTCATTCGCAGCCAAATATGGTTTTCCTACAACAATTCTATCATGATTTCTATAGTCATTCGCAGCCACCCCAAACAAACCTTTTTGTGGCCTTCATCGTTATTTTTGTGGATGCTATCATTTTGCCACCGGTTTGGTTTAGAAGAGATTCTTATGGAGTTCAGTAATTTATCAGCATTTTTACATTCTCAACTTTATGCTTGGATTTCCTTTAGTTTTTACATATTTAAGACTGCAACAATCTGTAATTATATGATTAATTTTTTTATTTTAAGGTTTTCCTTATCCATATATAGAGTTTACATTGTATAGTGAAGGCTTACTGTAGTTTGGAATGACTCTTAGACACTCGAGGGCTTTGGCTGGCTGTGGAGAAGAGAAAAAAAGAATGGAACTCAGAAAAAGAATAGAAAAGGAGTGGTGTGGTAGGAGTATGAGATGCGGTACCTTTGATGACTTTTGGATTCTCATTCTAAATTACTAAGAGGATGGGAAAACATTAAAAAATCCTAAAATAGTAGAGGTATTGGTTGAACATTTCAGTTGCCTTGATGTTTGTCATTCTTTAATCACTTTGGACATTAACTCTTAAGGGCCTTAAATAGAAAGGAACCCTTGGATACAAGCATAGAAGTATCAAACAAAACCGACAATTTTGGAAAGTGATACAAGCATAGAAGTATCAAACAAAACCGACAATTTTGGAAAGTGATCTTAAATCTTGAATAACAAAGGAAATGCCATTTAAGTCTCAAGAACCCAAATTCAAGTTATAACTTACAGTAAAACATAAAAAAACAAATGAAATGTGGTTGCCGATGTGATTGTGGAAGTTCTGACTTTGTTTTGGATGAAAGTGAAAGTGAGTGGGGTTAAAAAAAATTGATCTAGATAGAAGCTACTCATTAAATGACTTGATTATGCAATTAATATGAGATTGAGCTAGACATTGGAGAAAATAGTTGTGAACGATGGGCAATGGATGCTCACTATGATCTTGGAAATCTTCCTTAGTTGAGATCTCCGACAAAAAAGACTACAACATTATAAGAATTGGTGGATCATTCTTGTACTTCATGATGTCTCAGTGACCATTCTTTGACTCTCTCTTTGATTTTAAGAAAGGTGGACAATTATTGTCATATAATAAGAGTTTGGTCACGTGCTCCTGATATTCTGAAGCCAATTTTATGTTGAACATGTATTTTTTATGCTAGATTAAATGTTATATTTGGGCTAGCATCGACATCTGTCTTTTAATATTTTTTTTCTCCCTTTGTTTGGACTTGTGGAGTTTCTCGAGATTGAGGGATTCTTTTTCTCTTTGAAATTTTTAATTGTTACAATTTAGCATTATTGCAATACGGAATATTTTATTTTTTTTAACTTAATTTTACTAGTCTTGAAATATGTTTGTAACCGACTAAATATGATTGATAATTCTTTTCCTTATGCTGATATATCACACATATTGATTTAAGTTTGGTCCTAAAAGTACTTTGACATTAACCCATATGCATTTGCATTTTTTTCTTAAAGGGAGAAAGCAAATCGTCCCTTCCGTTGCCTCGACTGCCAATATAGGAGAGAACTTGTTCGAGTGTATTTATCAAATGTTGAGCAGATTTGTCGACGTTTTATTGAAGACAGAAAAAATAAACTTGGGAAGTTGATTGAGGATAAAATGAGATGGTCAAGGTAGATATGTTTGTCTAATGCTTTTTGTTTCTGATATGCGATCAACCTTACTTTATTACTTGTACTAAAAATTGAATTTTTATTTTATTGGCACATGAAAGTTTTGTTTAAGAACTAATTTTCTTAAGAGTACAAGCTTTAGTTGACTCAACATTCTTCGGCTGCAGTTTTTGTGCCTTTTGGACAGGAATTGACCAAGCTTCACGGCGGCGGATGTCAAAGGACAAGTCAGATACCATATTAAGAGTAGTTGTCAAACACTTTTTTGTGGAGAAAGAAGTAACTTCTACCTTAGTTATGGATTCACTTCACAGTGGTTTAAAGGCTCTTGAACACCAAAGCAAGAACAAGAAAGGGAAACTGAAAGTAGAGACGGAGGGTTTATCTGATCCAATGGTTCAAGTTGAGAAAGATATGTTTGTTCTTGATGATGATGTTGTACTATTACTCGAAAGAGTTGTATCAGAGCCCCTCCCCACAACTTCTTTGCCTCCTAAGGAGGACAAGGTTTCACTGAACCGTGCAAAAGTAAGATAAATGCTGTTATCATTTTAACAAAATTTAGTAGCAAAATAGCTTCATCGAGCATAAAATATTGCCAGCTTGCCCGTCTTAGAAAATTGGTCGTCCCCTAATTTTTATGCTGAGACTGTTAATCGAGAAGAATTTTTTTACTTCTATTTTTTTTTAAATTTTCTGCCTTTCTTCTCTTTGAATGCGTCAATAGTAATAATCTTTTTAATCTGTATGATTTGCATGCATGATTCTTATATTGCCATTCAAGGGCCTGTTTTTTTCTGTAATATGTCTATAGCAGCTGCTCTGGGTTACCTAATTTTCTCGAATTTGTTCTTCTTAAAGGTTTAATTTAGTGGATTAGATTTAAATAAGAGTTAATCCTTATTAAAAACTTGGTTGATTTTAAGAGAGATACCCTTGTTTGGAGAACACGGTTTTGCTGGATGCAATGTAGAAATATATGTTTCTCATTTTTTTTAACTTTCCTCATATAACTTGTCACAAAGAGGATGAGCGCCAGGCTTGCAAATCTGAGGTGTAGTAGTGCCACAAGGTTTTTTTTTTCTCTGATCTTTTTCTTCCTAAAAATTGCAGAACATGGATGCTATTACGTATGGCTCATATCTAGGGAGTCGGAGTTTCTTGGTGAAGAGGTGTGACTCCTGGTGAAAAGGAGTCTCTTGGAATAAAGGGGGTTGGGAAGAGCGAGGGCGTGATTGTAATTTTATCTGAGAGTTTGTATATGTTTATTTATATGTGAAACCCTATGGGATGTATTGTAACTTCTCTGAAATAGTGAAACCGCCGCTCGCTCCCGAGGACGTAGGCAATTCTTTGCCGAACCTCGTTAAATCTCTGTGTTCTTCTTCTGGTTTGTGTCGATTCCTGTTTTATTCCGATGCACTTCTCACAACAATTAGTATCAGAGCCTCTCTCGAGGGAACAGGAGGAGACCGACGCAGGAAGAAGAAAAAAGAAGAAGTTCGAGCGGTTTTGAGGCTGTTCCTCAGACGGTTCGGCGTCGCGAGGAGATTGTAGGAGGAATTCTTCCTCCTGTGCACGACAGGGTTGCGAGGAGTTTCGAAACCAGGCAGCGACACCGGAAGGAGTTAACGCCGGAGTTCGGGGCGCAACATCTGGCTTCTTCGGCAGAGGCGAATCGCGGACCGGATCGCGATAGCAGAGGCGAATCTCGAGAGTCCAGAAAATTCGCGGTTCTGCGGAGGAGTGCGGTTCAGTTCGCGAACAGGCGCGGTTCTTCGGAGTTCTTGCTTGCGGGGAAAGGAAGTTCGCGAACGGGTGTGAAGCAATTACCGCGAAATAGTTCTTGCTACAGGCATAGGCGATTGGTTTTCGGCCGATCAGTTGGCAGTGGCGAAGGAATTTCCTTCAATAGGCGCCAACAGGGATTCGCGACCCAACAGAGCCAGCAGAGGAATTAGAGGAGTTCGGCAGGTTCAACAATCCGTGGAAAACAGAAGCTGTCAACCGCGAACAGGAGCCTTGTTTTGCGGAAAATCTGAGGAATTCGACCAGTTAAATTCGCTGGTTCGTCGCAGGAGATTTTGCGACAGGTGGAGTTCGACAGGGTGCAGGAGGCGAGCAGACACGATTATTTTGTGAACAGGAGTTTCGTGGAGGTATTCCTCGAACAGGTGCGAAGGGATTCGTGGCTCGTGGAAACAACAATTGGCCGAGGCACTGGTACGAACAAGAAAAGTGCTTCGTGGAAAAATTTGATTCACGAATCACAGGAAAATCGCGGGATAGTTGCTGCATTTGACAAGGAAAATTTCAGGTTTCTTTGAATTTATTTGCGGAGTATTTTCTTTTGTTTTTCGAAGCAAGGCAGGAAACTACGGTACAGGATTAAATTTTAAATAGCAATGTCTGGAGCAAAATTCGAGATTGTGAAGTTCGATGAAACCGAGAACTTCGGATTGTGGCAAACAATGGTAAAAGATTTGTTGGCACAACAGGGAATTTTGAAGGCTTTGCGGGTTACAAAACCTGATAATATGGAAGATGAAGATTGGGAAGAGTTACAACTTCGAGCGGCAGATACCATACGTTTATGTCTCGCAGATGAGATTATGTATCATGTTATGAATCTGAAATCTTCATGAGAAGTATGGAAGAAATTGGAATCTCAGTTTATGTTCAAATCTCTGACAAATAAATTGTATCTGAAGCAAAGACTGTATGGGCTGAAGATGCAGACAGACACTGATTTGGTTCAGCACTTGAATGTCTTCAATCAAATAATCACAGATCTGACACGACTTGATGTGAATATTGAGGGTGAAGACCGAGCAATGATTCTTTTGTGTTCATTGCTACTTCTTATGAGCATCTGGTGACTACTCTTACATATGGGAAAGAAACAATTAAAATTAATGAGATTACTGCAGCATTGTTGGCTCACAACGAGCGGAAGCAGAATGCAGAGGAAAGCTCTCATGGTAATTGTTTATATGCCAAGGGTAATCAGGATCGTGAAAGTAAGGAGGAGAAGGAGAATTCTGGAAGGCAAAGTTCCAGGTCAAAGCCTAAAGGCAAGAAGATTCGTTGCTTTAAGTGCAAGAAACAGAGACATATGAAGAGAGATTATCCAATGCTCAAGAAGAAGACTCGTGATGTATCTTCCAGGGCTGTGAATATGGTGCAGAGTGATATTACAGATTACAGTGATGGTGATGCGCTTTCAGTTACAACAACTCAGTTAAAGAATGGATGGATTCTTGATTCAGGATGTTCTTATCACATAACACCTAATAGGGAGTGGTTTACTTCATACAGGTTATCTGATTCTGGTTCAGTCTATTTGGGTGATAATAGACGATACAATATTGCTGGTATTGGTAAAGTCAGAATTAAATTGTATGATGATACTGTTAGAACATTATGTGATGTC